AGTGGAGTCTGTAACCTGAAGCATCTGTCACCTGAAGCGTCTGTAACCCGAGGTACCACTGTATTACGACCAGAGCATTTCGTGTTTGAAAACATTGGGGTTGGGAGAAAGATCCGCAGCAAGATCACACGTCCCAATACACACTATATTTTCTTTCATCTACAATGTTCTTCGTGCTAAGGAGGCATTTATGCAGTATATTTATATATTATTATATTATATCATATTATTTTATTATATTATATTATATTATATTATATTATATTATATTATATTATAATTATATATAAATATATTTATACATATACTTTACAGAAACAGATATAATGCAAGGCTTGCTTTGCAACATTCTCTCCCCGTTTAAGCTGAAATCCTCATCCCATTTACCTGGGATCAGTGCCACTGAATTCAACATGACTTGCTTGTGAGAAGACGTGGTTAGGATCGCAGTTTTATGCATCTTCCTTCGTGGAAAAACCAATTGGTTTTGCATATGCCTTCATTTACATAGCAGGCAGGTGGAGCATGAATAATTCTAGATATAAAATTGTAGTCTCTTAAGAACTTGTGCCGTATTCAGCTCATATGCATGTGTACATTTTATATATGCATTTGTGGTTTGAAATGATACAGGATCCTGTTTTGTTAAAGAAATAAGGCTTTCAGAGGCTACAAGCCAGAATGGCTATGCTCCACCATTGGAAGCAAAATGCCTCTGTTTATCACCAGTGGGAATCACCAGGCAAAGAGCACAGTTGCACTTGGTGCCTGAGGGCAAGTTTCCCATTAGATCCGATTGACCCCCTGTGGGAACAGGATGTGGCAGTAGATAGGTCTTTTTATGTTGTGGATGTTGTTTTTTCAAATATCTGCCACCAGGGCTGTGGGAGACACCAGCAGCAGCCACCCAGGGAGGATGTCCTGGTCTGTGGGGGACTAATATGGGGCTGCTTCAATATCCATGAGATTCAGCCACAGAACGGCATTTGTTGGAACATTGGAGAACAAGGGGAGGGGGTTCTCATATATACCTTTGTCCTGCTGTGGCAACTTCTGTATCTACCTTATTGTGTTTTATATGTACGGTACACCCGGAATACAAGGGATGTGGGTGGCACTGTGGTCTAAACCTGTATCTACCTCTGTTATTACTTTATTGTGTTTTATATGTACAGTGGTGCCCCGCAAGACGAATGCCTCGCAAGACGGAAAACCCGCTAGACGAAAGGGTTTTCCGTTTTTGAGTTGCTTCGCAGGACGAATTTCCCTATGGGCTTGCTTCGCAAGACGAAAATGTCTTGCGAGTCTTGAGATTTTTTTTTCGCTTTCCCCCCCCTTTATCTAATCTGCTAAGCCTTTAATAGCCTTTAATAGCCTTTTAGCAGCTAATCCGCTAAGCCTTTAAGCCTTTAATAGCCGGTAAACCGCTAATAGCGCTAATCCGTTAAGCCGCTAATAGGGTTGCTTCACAAGACGAAAAAACCGCTAGACGAAGACTCTCGCGGAACGGATTAATTTCGTCTTGCGAGGCACCACTGTACAGTACACCCGGAATACAAGGGATGCGGGTGGCGCTGTGGTCTAAACCACTGAGCCTCTTGGACTTGCAGATCGGAAGGTTGGTGGTTCGAATCCCCGTGATGGGGTGAGCTCCCATTGCTCTGTCCCAGCTCCTGCCAACCTAGCAGTTTGAAAGCACACCAGTGCAAGTAGATAAATAGATACTGCTGTGACGGGAAGGTAAACGGTGTTTCCGTGCACCCTGGCTTCCAACACAGTGTTCCATTGCGCCGTAAGTGGTTTAGTCATGCTGGCCACATGCAGTGGCAGAGCTTCATGCTCCAGCACCGGGGGGGGGGGGAGAGCAGGTGGGGGCGGGGCTGAAGCGCGTCCTGGGGCATGGCGTGCCACCCGCAGGGGCAGGGCGCCCAGCGTGAGCGGTAGGGCAGCCTTGATGGAACCCCACTGGAATCACGCTGCTGGGGGCGGTGCGCTCCCCAACCCCCTTTCCTCCGCCAGTGGCCACATGACCTGAAAAGCTGTCTGTGGACAAACGCTGGCTCCTTCGGCCTGAACAGCAAGATGAGCGCTGCACCCCAGTCGCCTTTGACTGGACTTAACCGTCCAGGGGTCCTTTACCTTTTCCTTTTTCCACACCTGTAATTTATGTGGGGGTTATGTTCCAGGGATCGCGGCTAAAGCCAAAACCACATATCTATCTATCTATCTATCTATCTATCTATCTATCTATCTATCTATCTATCGTGGGTAGGAATGTCGTTTTCCCTCTCTCTTTTTTGCCACAAAAGCTGAATGCACACAAGTTAAATGTGTGCAAGATGCGTACTTACTATATTCTAAACTGCCTTGAGGACTTTGGTCAGTAGGCAGGGTATAATTTATTTATTGCTTAATTAAATTTTTTATACTGCCCTTCACCTGAAGATCACTGGGTAGTTCACCAGGATAGGAGTATAAATACTCCTAAACAAAGAAACAAACTTTTATTTTCATACTTTGCCTGTACAAAAATGTTATCTCCAAAGAAGGAAGTGTAAAGTGACAGAACAGCAGAGAGACACAAGGGTTATTTTTAGATGCATGGGAGTGGAGTATCTACCGAATAACGAGGAAATGACAAGCATCATTTCGAAAGTTCGACATTTCATATTGTTTTCTTTTTGGCAAGATGACTTGAGATCCATTTTACGGTGGTACCTTGATTTGCAACCATTTTGGATTACAACCGTTTTGGATTACAACCACATCAAACCCGGAAGAGTGTGTCCCTTTTTTGGATTTTAAATTATTACAACCCATTTTTGGGGGGGAGGCCCCATTGGCGAAAGCACGCCTAGGGTTACAACCTGTTTTGGTTTACAACCGGACCTCCGGAACGGATTATGGTTGTAAACCAAGGTACCACTGTACTTCGAAAGAGTGAGGCCAAGCAGGAGGGGTGAGTGTGGCTTGAGGAAGAAATCAAGGGGCCCACTGACTCCCTGGGTCCATGGTTCACATTTATACTACAGAAGGGATGGAAAACTTCTGGCTCTCCAGAGGCCAATGACTACAACTCCCATCATCCCATTCTGCCAGACGCTGATGGGAGTTGTAGTTCAGCAAACATCTGGAGGGCCCCCATTTCGCAACCTCTGTATTAGAGGGGAGATAGCTTGGTTTAAAAGGTTATTCTTTCCCACCTGTGCGCTTCTGTTTGGCCAAAATCAAGAGAGGCAATCAGGACAGACTGGTGCCTGGTGCCACCACACCCTCAGCCACCAGCGGCAAACAAAGGTCCTTTGAGCTATGGGCAGAAATGCCAAGTGTGTGTCACATAGAAACCATATATCTTATTCTGTTTACATCTGCAATCTACATCTTCAAGGGCTTGGAGGAGATGCCAATAATTCAGAAAGCAAGCACATACATTTTCCTATCAATTGAAAACAGGTGTTAACACCCTGCCCCACCCCCTGGCCGTGGCTGGTATCACCCTCAAAAGCTATAATTTAATGTTCATTGTGAAGACTTGTTTGTGATACCTCGGTGACACGTCTGCAAGCTTAATAAGCTCACGTCTAGAAGCACCTCAAGTTCTGTAATACATAACCAAGTTATGTGTGCATTGCAACAGGACAAGTCTCGATCTGCCTTTTCAAGGTTGAATGGTATTGTATGTACACCCCAAGCACAGAAGTGATCTATACATCAAAGATGCGTGCGCGTTTTTAAAGTAATTTTTATTATCGTATTCCAAACAGAAAAAAACAAGAACATAAGGACTCATATAAAAGACACCCCCCAATGCATTCGACAAACACACAACAAAACAAAAAAAGCGTTCCCTCAACGTAATCCTTAAGTGACATGCTTGCTTTGTACTTATTTGAACAAGAGGCAGGCTGGTGACCAGAACAGGTAGCTTGATAGATTTGTAGTTATTTAACTGTATATTCCTTAATAGCTTACCGTTGGGCAGAATGCTGCCTCCATATTTCCCCTCATATATTCACAAGTTAAATTGCTAGAGAAACCTGCTTTTAAAAGGAAAGCAGAAAATGCAAAGAGTGGAGGGGGCAGGTTAGTTCTACAGCCCTGAAATGGCCTGCCGGTGAGCAGTTTAAGGTTTCCTGTTAGCCAATTCAGTTGCAGTAGGGCCGATATGACTGTCCTCCAGAGCACCTCTTTTGGGGTGATTGCAGCGTCACATAAATTACACATGGCAAGACACAGCTCCAATATTGCACAGCCCTTCCTCTGGCGCCAACGCCACACAGCGGCCTCCTGACCTTTCCTGTGCCGTGACCGGCATTAACTTGCACCGCACTATCATTTCCACGGCAACCATTTCCAAAACCGCTGTGCAAGATGAGGCCTAGCCGGTGGAGCAGCTTCCAACTCGGCCGAGTTTGGCCGCTCTTTTTTGTGGCGTTGGGACTCAAAAGGCCCCGGACTTCCTTAGCAAGCAGAGCAGCCTCTCCTTTAGCTTAGGACACTGAGTCTGGACCTTCCTTTTCGCATCCGCAGACCTAAAAAGGTAAAGGTAAAGGGACCCCTGACCATTAGGTCCAGTCGTGGCCAACTCTGGGGTCGCGGCGCTCATCTCGCTTTACTGGCCGAGGGAGCCGGCGTACAGCTTCCGGGTCATGAGGCCAGCATGACTAAGCTGCTTCTGGTGAACCAGATCAGTGCACGGAAACGCCATTTACCTTCCCACCGGAGCGGTACCTATTTATCTACTTGCACTTTGACGTGCTTTTGAACTGCTAGGTTGCCAGGAGCAGGGACCGAGCAACGGGAGCTCACCCCTTTGCGGGGATTCGAACCGCCGACCTTCTGATTGGCAAGCCCTAGGCTCAGTGGTTTACCCACAGCGCCACCTGTGTCCCATCTGCAGACCTAGCAGGCTGCAAACGCCTGGCTTCCTAGGTTCTGAAACGGAGGGAGAGCCCCACTTCAAAACCCCACACGTTCTCCACCGGGATGCGCGTCTCTCCTCAAGCGCAGCTCGGCCTGCGCAGTTTGGGATGAGGAGCGAAAGGGACCAGGGAGCTCGCAAACTTCTCCGTGGCTGACCTCCAAGGCTGATGCCTCTGGCTCCGCACAGCTTTCTTCTTCTCGGCCTTGAGCAAGCGGCACACCAGGGCCTTAGCGCTGGCGCGGAGCCATCTTGGGGTTGAGCTGGAAGGGCCCTGAAGCACCCTGACCAGACCTGGCAGTTCCTGAGGCAGGCGGTATCGAGGAAGGAAGTGCAAGGCCCGGGGGATGTTGCGCCGGCCGCACAGTTTGCTGAAGTAGGCGATGACCCAGTCGCCCTTTCCTCGCACGGCCCCGGGCGCCCCCTGCAGTTCGCCTTTCAAGCAGGCCATGGCCGCCCCAAACAGGTCGTGGGGCTCCGGTGCCTTCACGCCGCCGTGCCTGGAGGCCTTCCCTTGCCACAGTCCGTAGGCGCGGGCGCTGCCGACGCTCCACAGTAGCAGGACCTGGCCCTGCTCCCGGCTGACTTGCTCTCGCTGGGCGTACACCCAGGGCAAGATGCCCAGCCGCCCCACGTGGCCCAGCTCCCAGAGGTCCAAGAGCACGGGGCAGCCCAGGGCCGAGCGCAGCAGCGCCGCAAAAGCACACACCAACTGCTTGTGCTCCTCCGAGTCGGGGGAATAGATCAGCAGGATGGGGCGAGAATGGCGCTTGCCCGGTACGTCTGGGGAGAGAAGGGAGAAAGCGGAATCAGGAATGCTTCTCATAAGAAGGTGCTGATCCTTGGCAGGGACTTTCGAGTGGTGGCTCCCCAGCTGTGGAATGCCCTCCCTAGTGAGGTGCTACCTCTCTCCGTCATCATTAATTTTTCAGGAGGAATTTGAAAGCATTCCTGTGGTGGCTGAAGGATACTGTTCCTGGCCAGCCTTCAAGATCACTGAATAGAAACACAGTTTTAATTGATTTTAGAATATTTTAAGCAGAGGTTGCATGGCCACCTGTCATGGATTGCTTTAGTTTTGATTCCCGCACACCAAATGGGGTTGGACTAGATGACCCTCGGGGTCCCTTCCAACTCTATGATTCTGTGATTCTGATAATGGCTTTTTAGTTGAGTCCCAATTGTTTTTGACTGCTTTAGAATGTTTTTACTTCATTTGTAAAGTTGTCTTATCTCTTTGCCACCACGGGCTCCTTGGGGAGGAAGGGTGTGGCATGAATCTAATAAAATAATAATAATAATAATAATAATAATAATAATAATAATAATTTATTAAAAGGCAAACCCACCCATGCTCGTGCTGGGTCGTGTCCAGCCACTCTAGGGCTTCAGCAGGAGCTACATTACATCAGCTCATAGAGGCCGGGAGCCAGGTTCGCTGTCTAGATGGACACTTGCCAGGTCACGGATCGCCAGCATGACGAGCTGGCATCTGGCGAGCACAGCACCAGCGCAGCGCACTGATGACGTATACCTTCCCAGCAGTCATGGAATGATAGTGCCTAGTGTTATTCTACTTGCATCATCCTAGCGGTAGCTTGAGACAAGGTCCTGCTCAGGTGGGCAGGCTGCTCCGGTTGCACCGATGAAATCGGAGCTACAGCCTCGCCGTGGGATAGATATGCTTCAGGATCAACATTGGCTGGGTTGCTCTCCCAGCCACTGAGAGTAGCTTCAAGTGCATTACTTCAGAATTGCCATTCAAACATGCAAGATGGTCAAAATGACGTCATGTACATGTGTAGAAGCGGAGCCTAACCATTAGGTTCCAGGTCGTGACCGACTCTGGCATGCGTAGATGGCGCTCAAAATGACGTCACGTGCATGTACTGGCGGCAAAGCGGAGCCGGCATACCAGGCTTGCCAGCGTGCGCATGATGGCCAGCATGACTTCACGCGCATGTCTGGCGGCAAACCAGAGCCGCTGCTTCAGGTTTGCCACTGCGCATGCGCAGATGGTCAAACTGCGTCCGTGCATGCGGAGCGGCAAGCGGACCTGTTTACTCCAGGTCTTGCCACTCGACGCATGCTGATGGTCAAACTGACGTCACGTGCATGTGCAGGCGGCAAGCGGACCTGTTAGCATCGGGTTTGCTCACTCCACATGCGCAGATGGTCAGAATGACGCCACCTGCATGATCCGGAAGTGCCAAGCGGGCCCTGCTTCAGGTTTAGCCCACAGCGCACACGCAGATGTCAAATGACTTCAAATACAGGTCTTAGGTTCCGCCTAAACGGGGCCGTTGCCAGGTTTGCCACTGAGCTGCACATGGATGGCCTAAATGAGGTCTGTGCATGTACGGAGCAGCGAACTACCGGCGACTATGAACTATCCCGGTTCACCAGCTAGAGCATGCGGAGATGGTCAAATGTCTGCACATGCATGTGCTGTTGCGGCAATGCATCCTGCTTTAGCTGCAGACACGTCTTACGTTCGCTTCAGGATGCGAACGGGGCTCTGGAACGGATCCCGTTCGCATTCAGAGGTACCACTGTACTTCAATGAAGAGCAAATGGAGGCTCTGGCAATGATAAGCTCCTGACTAGAGCAGAAGTGAAAATAAAAGCTGGATGCTGAGAAGAATGAGCCATTAACAGAGAAGGCTTTTAACTGCATGCCCTGCAGATATTTGCTTTATGTTGGTACAGAAAAGAGCCTTCTCTGTGGTGGCACCTCCCCTATGGAGATTCGGCAAGCACCAATATTGGATGCTTCTGGCATGCTTTGAAAACATACCTATTTGCCCAGGCATTCCTTGGCCATTAACGCCAGTTTTTAGCACCCTAATTACTGTAACTGATGTTAATATTTTACTCATATGTTTTTATGGGTATTTTTTCGGACTTCTTGGTATACTGCCATTGCTTCTTGGTTGTAAACTGTTTGGGCACTCTGTGGAGTGAAAGGCAGTACAGAAATAATTGAAATGAATTAATAACTTTGTCCTGCCATATTCTTTCACATTGACCCTACACACGTTTTCAGGCAAGGAAAAAAGTAACCTTCTGCATAAGAGCAGACGGACTAACATTTTTACACACAGATGCCACCACATGGTAAGAATTGTTTTTGTCATTCTCAACCAATCTTTTCTGAAAAACATTCAGGTTTTTCTTACGTTGCTTTATGAAACGTTATGCATACTTACGGTGTTAAACAATAAGAATGACTATAATTTAGGGCGATTCCTAAATTTGCCCCTATCTCAGAGGGAGTCAACATGGCGCCCTTGAGAAGTTTTTGGACTACAACTCCCATCAACCCCAGCAAGCACGGCCAATGGTCAGTGTGGATGGGAGTTGCAGTCCCACAAAAATATTTGCAGGCAACCTCTGCCCTATGTGATGAAATACAGAGGATGCTGCTGCTCTGACAACTGTCTCACCACACAGGACTGAATTACTAGAGTGGGTCGCCTTTTGGGAGTGGCTGCCGAGACCATATAACACCGGTCCTGAAAGACCTACATTGGCTCCCAGCATGTTTCTGGGCACAATTCAAAGTGTTGGTGCTGACCTTTAAAGCCCTAAACGGCCTCAGCCCAGTATACCTGAAGGAGCATCTCCACCCCCATTATTCAGCCTGGACACTGAGGTCCAGCTCCGAGGGCCTTCTGGCGGCTCCCTCACTGTGAGAAGTGAGGGTACAGGGAAGCAGGCAGAGGGCCTTCTCGATAGTGGCCCCCGCCCTGTGGAACGCCCTCCCATCAGATGTCAAGGAAATACAACAACTATCTGACTTTCAGAAGGCATCTGAAGGCAGCCTTGTTTAGGGAAATTTTTAAGGATTGATGTTTTATCATGTTTTAATACAGCGGTACCTTGGTTTACAACCATAATCCGTTCCGGAGGTCCAGTTGTATACCAAAACCAAGGTATGCTTTCACCAATGGGGCCTCCCAAAAAAATGGGTTGTAATAAATAAATAAATAAGGGTTGTAATAAAAAAAAAAAAGGGACACGTACTTCCGGGTTTGTAATCCAAAACGGTTGTAATCCAAAGCGGTTGCAAACCAAGGTACCACTGTATTCTTTTGGGAGCCGCCTAACAGTGGCTGGGGAAACCCAGCCAGATGGGCGGGGTACAAATAAATTATTATTATTATTATTATTATTATTATTATTATTTCAAAGACATTTCCCGCCCTTTCACAAACACACAGTGATAGTTCATCTTATCCCTCCGATGCTTCTTACCTCTATGAAGCCTGCGCAGAACACAGCGAATTAGCAGAACGGCTGCGACCAGCAGCAACACTAGTCCTAGACTCACTCCAAAGGCCAGCAGCCCCCAGTGCCTGTGAGTCACTAGTAGGGGGAAAAAAGGAGGTGAGAAATTAACACAAATTAACAACAACCTGCACTACCTTCCCATCTGCTCAGGGATCTATGTATGTTGTTTCTCTTTCCATCTGAAACACGCCTAGCAAACTCATTCTCTGAGTGTGGATCTTCATGGAGCCAAAATTTGCACCATCCACAAGACGGGGAGGCATCGCCAGTCTCTGGGGGAACCTCAAGGTCTGCAGGAGCACTTTAAAATAAATCAATCAATCTAAGGACCGTGTGTGTGTGTGTGTGTGTGTGTGTGAAAGAGAACCAAAACAGACCAATGAGGACTGAACATGCACAGTGGCCACAAAATGCTGAATGCCTCTTGGAGGGTGAGGGCGGAATGGAGTATTGTGGAAGATAGCAGGACTGACGGTAACCCCGCATGAACCAACCCAGATCCTGCATTCATCATCAGAGGTCCTTCTTCGTGTTGTGCACTCTCCAAGACAGGTGTGGAGGGTGGCAACGTGAGAACGGGCCTTTTCAGTGGTGGCTCCGCACTTAGGGAATGCTCTCCCTAGGGAGGCACCGCCTGACACCATCACTGACTACATGTAGGCACCAGGCAACCCTTTTTTTCCTTTTCAACCAAGCTTTCTTTTTGGTCCTTTTGCTTGGAGTGCCATAAATAATAACAGTATCAACCTGAATGGGAGCACTTGCTACTGCAACCTTTTGTTGCAGGACCCACTTGCCCATCCTAAAATATAAAGTTTTGATGCCGTCCCTTCTCTCCATGGTATATACCATATTTTTCGCTCCATAAGACGCACCTTTTTCTTCCTAAAAAGTAAAGGGAAATGTCTGTGCGTCGTATGGAGCGAATGCGTGGTCCCTGGAGCCGAATTGCCCAGGGGCAAAAAGCAGATCATGCTTTTTTTTTTAAGAGGGAAGGGGGTGTTGAAAGGAAGCAGCTGATCGATGGGATCGGGAGAGAGATAAGGGACGCGATAAAGGAGGCTGCCTGTGAGGGGGGAGGTAAAAGCCCATGGATCCTCAGGATTTTTACACTGGGTCACCCCAAATTCACCATCAGATCACATAGCATGTCCATGGCTACAGCCTGCACCAAAAAAATCAGGCACCCACTGTTTCCTGGGGCTGCAATGGTGCAAAAATGTGGTTATAAAGCACGGATCCACATGGATCCTCAGGATTTTTGCATTGGGCTACCCCAAATTCACCATCAGATCCCATGTCTGTGGCCACAGCATGAACCATGAAAATCATACATCCACTGTTTCGTTCAGAATATTTTTTTTTCCTCTTCTAAAAACTAGGTGCGTCTTATGGTCAGGTGCGTCTTATGGGGTGAAAAATACGGTATGTGCTACTAATCCTCTTATGACTAACCCTACTGGGGAGCCTTAGCATTGCAGCAACACGCCTTGAGACTCCATCCTTCAATGGAGAGTCTTCATTGAGGACTCTCCTTCATTGGAGAGTTTTAAGCAGAGATTGGATGGTCATCTGTCTTGGATGCTTAATTTGAGATTCCTGCATTGCAGGGGGTTGGACCCTTGGTGTCCCTTCCAACTCTTTGAGTCTATGTTCTCCCAGAGGGTACTGATATTTTCCCCATTCGCTGGCTGACAAAAGAACAAGTGGTACGTGCACTACAACCTGCCTCCGTGTACTACAAGACCTAGAACATCTAGTTCTGACTCACCACTCTTTCCAATAAGACTTTTCACTGTTCCACATTTAGCTGGGGCCATGGGCGTAGCCAAGGGAGGGGGTGCAGGCAGGGAGGGGCAGCTGTCCCCCCCCCCAAATCAATAAAAGTACATAGCTAACTGAGGTTCTGCCGCTTCTAACAAAAATCATGGCTACGCCCATGGCTGGGACCCAGCAAAAACAACCAGGCAACCTCACGCAAGGGATGACACATGCAGCCACTCCCCACAATGGGGCAAGGTGCTGTTCCTTAAATCCCTCCCACTCCCAGCCTAATATGGGATGGCAACTTACCATCTGGGCACAGAAGCTGTTTGCCAGCGAAGCGCACATCAGAACGCCAGACCTGACAAACCAGATGGAGAGAGAAGGCAGGACACTTGAAACTGGTTTTACTGACACAAGACTGCACTGTATACAAGTTGTACAAGTGACAATAAAGTATTTCAATTTCAATTCAGTAGCTCGCACGTTTTGCAGCTGTCAAGCGATCGGCCAGTGGTGCAAGTCTCTGGAATCGAGCCCCACCTACTGCTGAAACTGTTCTCTACCAAGCAAGGTTCTACTCAAAGTCAACAAAAGAGGTTTAAAGACTGTCCCAAGGCAAATCTTAAAAAATGTAGTATAAACACTGGCCTGTGAGCGTTCCAGTTGGAGATCAGCCTTTACCGAAGGTGTCATGGGCTTTGAAGATCCTCGAACTCAAGATGAAAGGGAGAAACGTGCTAAGAGGAAAGCACACTTGGCAAACCCTCACCGTGATCAACTCCCATCCAGAAACCTATGTCCCCACTGTGGAAGGACATGTGGATCCAGAATTGGCCCCCACAGTCACTTACGGACTCACTGTTAAAACCGTGTTTATGGAAGACAATCTTACTCAGCTACGAGAGATCACCAAAGAAGAAGAAGACTCAAAGTAGACTCACTGGAGTTAATTAACTTAAGCTAACCACCGTATTTTTCGCTCTATAAGACGCACCAGAGCATAAGACGCACCTAGTTTGTTTTCTAGTTTTCCTAGGAGGAAAACAAGAAAAAAATATTCTGAATCTCAGAAGCCAGAACAGCAAGAGAGATTGCTGCGCAGCGAAAGCAGCAAACCCTCTTCCTGTTCTGGCTCCTGGGATAGCTGTGCAGCCTGCATTCGCTCCATAAGACACACACACATTTCCCCTTACTTTTTAGGAAGGAAAAAGTGAGTCTTACAGAGCAAAAAATACGGTATGCCTGTTAACTCCAAGGTGACTCCTCTAGGCAGGACTAGTGGTGGATACAATCCAATGTACAGTGGTACCTCTGGTCAGAGCTGTAGTTCACAAACTATTTGCCGGGAAATAATACAGTGGTACCTCAAGTTAAGTACTTAATTGGTTCCGGAGGTCCGTACTTAACCTGAAACTGTTCTTAACCCGAAGCACCACTTTGGCTAATGGGGCCTCCTGCTGCCGCGCCGCTGGAGCATGATTTCTGTTCTCATCCTGAAGCAAAGTTCTTAACCCAAGGTACTATTTTTGGGTTAGCAGAGTCTGTAACCTGAAGCGTCTGTAACCTGAGGTACCACTGTATATTACAATACAGCGTGGGGTGGGGCTTAGGTTGGTCCTTACCAGTACACAACTTGTCAATGCCCGCCAAGGAAGGATGAGGTCCAGGTCTCCCAGGCTTGATCTCTCCAGCTGCAAAACATAAGGGAGAGTTGGACATGAGGCCCAGTCCTCTGCCTCACTCCAGAAAAAAAATGCAGCCCATTTACCGCACCTTCCCTCACCCACCATAGAATTGTAGAATTGGAAGGCACCCCAAGGGTCATCTAGTCCAACCTCCCTGCAATGCAGGAATCTCAGCTAAAGCATCCATGACAGATGGCCATCCAACCTCTGCTTAAAAACCTCCAAAGGAGGAGCGCCTATCACCTCCCGTGGGACTTCGTTCCACTGTCGAACAGCTTGTACTGTCAGAAAGATCTTCCTGATGTTTAGCCAGAATCTCCTTCCTTGTAACTTGAAGGCATTGGTTCGAGTCCTACCCTCCAGAGCAGGAGAAAACAAGCTTGCTCCATTTTCCATGTGACAGCCCGTCAGATATCCGAAGATGGCTATCATATCTCCTCTCGGTGTTCTCTTTTCCAGGCTAAACACACCCATCTCCTTCAGCTGTTCCTCACAAGTCCTGGTTTCCAGACCCTTGATCATCTTGGTTGCCTTCCTCTGCACATGTTCCAGCTTGCCAATATCCTCCTTAAATTGTGGTACCCAGAACTGGATACAGTACTCCAGGTGCAGTCTGACCAAGGCAGAATAGAGCAGTACTATTACTTCCCTTGATCTGGACACTATGCTTCTGTTGCCAGAGTGGTGCATGCTCTAGTTATCTCGCGCTTAGACTACTGCAATGCACTCCACATGGGGCTACCTTTGAAGGTGACTCAGAAACTGCAATTAATCCAGAATGCGGCAGTTAGACTGGTTACTAGGAGTGGCCACCGAAACCATATAACACCGGTCCTGAAAGATCTTCATTGGCTCCCAGTATGTTTCCAAGCACAATTCAAAGTGTTGGTGCTGACCTTTAAAGCCCTAAATGGCCTCGGTCCAGTATACCTGAAGGAGCATCTCCACCCCCATCATCCAGCCCGGACACTGAGGTCCAGCGCTGAGGTCCTTCTGGCAGTTCCCTCACTGTGAGAAGTGAGGTTACAGGGAACCAGGCAGAGGGCCTTCTTGGTAGTGGCGCCTGCCCTGTGGAAAGCCCTCCCAGCAGATGTCAAGGAAATAAACAACTATGTTACTTTTAAAAGACAACTGAAGGCAGCCCTGTTTAGGGAAGGTTTTAATGTCTGACGCTTTGTTGTTTTTAGTATTCGGTTGGAAGCCGCCCAGAGTGGCTGGGGAAACCCAGCCAGATGGGTGGGGTATAAATAAATTATTATTACTATTATTATTATTATTATTGATGCAGCCTAGAATAGGATTAGCTTTTTTTGCTGCTGCATCACAGTGTTGACTCATGTTCAGCTTGTGGTCCACTAAGACCCCCCTAGATCCTTTTCACATGCACTACTGGCAAGCCAGGTGTCCCCCATCTTACATTTGTGCAGCTGGTTCTTCCTGCCTAAGTGCAGAACCTTACATTTGTCCCTTCTGGAATTAATTTTGTTGGTTTGGGCCAGTCCGGCTGGATCCCAACCCAAGTTAACCCTCCTCCTCTCCAGCTCCAAAAGTCACTTACATGGGTGATGGTATAGACAGGTGGCTCTGGCTCACACTGGTGCGGAGATTGCTTCTGACATAAGGCCGAGCTGAAGGATGCTGGTGCGCGAGAATGAAAATGCAAGTGGAGCTGCCAAGGTTTGACACTCATAGATACATTCCAGGCAGTGTCTAGGAAGAAAGACCGGCAACAAGTTGTTCTAATGGCTCAGACCTTTTTAGGCATATGTTTGCACTTGAAACAAAAAATTAATTCTTACAAAATTTTGGGCGCATCTGATATGTGTGCGACGCTGAACCCGGAAGTGACCTGGAAACATCACAAAAACTGCACCGAAAAGGGCAGTACAGGGTGGAGGTGAAATGGGATGTTTCAAGGCTTTTCCAATGGTGTTTCGAATATACGCAATTTCACTTAAACGCACGGTGCCTTAGAACGTAAGCCTCGCGTTAGTTGGGAGTTGCCTGTATAGCAACATCACACACACATAAAATATATCCCAGAAGGTGGAGTTTAGGCAACGCATCCAAATCAACATGGGTCTTCAGAAAACTAAAGCAGGGGCAAAACCCTAGATAGGTAGGTATCCTGGCATCTTGCGGTTAGTTCAGTGCTGCCTACAGCATAACTGTGAGTATTCTGTATTTCCCCTACTTCGCCACGTGAGGGCGCAGTTGCATTTCAGTGTTAACAATGCAAACACAGCTCTTCCAGATTAAAGGAAACAAGTGACAAGACTGCTCAAAACTAAGCAGGAACGTTTAACTTTGAAATCCACATAACAAGCCATTCTGTTTTCACAAAACAACGCTGGGGCGAAAACCTTCACGTTGCTTTAGACTGACTACAAACACCAAGGAAGTCTTTTGTTTCAACCGTTCATTGTTTACGGTCAACATGTTTTCTGCCAGTTAAGAGGACCGTGCATTTACACCATGGGTAGGCAAACTAAGGCCCGGGGGCCGGATCCCGCCCAATCGCCTTCTAAATCCGGCCCATGGACGGTCCAGGAAGCAGCATGTTTTTACAGGAGTAGAATGTGTGCTTTTATTTAAAATGGGTTATTTGTGGGGCATAGGAATTCGTTCCATTTTCCCCCCTTCAAAATATAGTCCGGCCCCCCACAAGGTCTGAGGGACAGTGGGCCGGCCCCCTGCTGAAAAAGTTTGCTGACCCCCTGCTCTATCCTCTTCCTTAAAAATGTAAAGGGACCCCTGGGCCTTAGGTCCAGTCGTGACCCCTGATTTACACTAACAGCTGGGCAGCTACCAGTCACAAAAAATGCTGGGAAACAACATCAGCTGATCAGGATTCTCTCCTCCCTAACAGAGGCCTGTACCCCCGCAACAAAAATACTACGGATCAGTTTTTCTGCACAGCATTTCTCCCTTTGGTTAAGTGCCAGGTTTCCTGCACGTAAAGCTTGAGCGACAACGTGCAAAAGGGCTGTAACCCGGAAGTACAGCCTACGATTTGTTTGTAAAAGGTGCCTGGTTCATTCCTGGCATCTTGAAAGGGGGTGGAAAAATCACAGGTAGCAGGGTGGGCTCTCAACTCTGGGCAAGCGTCTGCAACCCCTGAAATCTCTCACTGCTCATGAGATTGGGGTGGTGTGCAACATTATGTTGCAGGGAGGCAAAAATGGAGACTCTTGTCTGAGCATTAGGGTTGCAGGTGACTAATCTCAACGCAGGCTACTAACAGCTGAAAGGGGCACCCAGACTGCCCTTACAAGCCTGCCTCCTTACTTACAGCCAATCCAGAGAAAGCAGTGGCTGACAGCCTCTATCCCATGGGTAGGCAAACTAAGGCCTGGGGGGCGGATGCGACCCAATCGCCTTCTAAATCTGACCCGCGAATGGTCCAGGACTCAGTGCATTTTTACATGAGTAGAATGTGTCCTTTTATTTAAAATGCATCTCTGGGTTATTTGTGGGGCATAGGAATTCGTTCATTATTATTTTTTCAATATATAGTCCGGCCCCCCACAAGGTCTGAGGGACAGTGGACCAGCCCCCTGCTGAAAAAGTTTGCTGACCCCTGCTCTATCCTCTTCCTTAAAAAGGTAAAGGGACCCCTGGGCCTTAGGTCCAGTCGTGACCCACTCTGGGGTTGCGGCGCTCATCTCGCTTTATTGGCTGAGGGAGCCGGTGTACAGCTTCCGGGTCATGTGGCCAGCATGACTAAGCTGCTTCTGGCGAACCAGAGCAGCGCACGGAAACGCCATTTACCTTCCCGCCGGAGCGGTACCTATTTATCTACTTGCACTATGACCTGCTTTCGAACTGCTAGGTTGGCAGGAGCAGGGGCCGCGCAACGGGAGCTCATCCCGTCGCAGGGATTCAAACTGCCGACCTTCTGATCAGCAAGCCCTAGACTCTGTAGTTTAACCCACAGCGCCACCCGCGTCCCATCCTCTTCCTTAGTGTTCCGTTTATAGGACTTAGCATGGCAGAGAATGGAAACAAAACCAGAATCAATTGGCTCTGCCTGTCATTTTCTCTGGCTCCATCTACTGTCGGCCCCCTTGCCTTCCGCCCTACCAGTCCCAAGGAGCACCAGCCTCCACTGACCGCTGAACAGCAATGAGATGACCTGCTTCTGAGTGCTGTCATGATGGGCAAGGAATGTACAGACACAGGCAGATAAAACAGCTTTGGGTCCATGCTTGAAACCCTAATGAGCATGATCTCTGGTTCAGTGAGAAGGAATCGCTTCCCTTGCCCCAATCACCACCTCCCCATCATCCTACGATACCAAACCAGCAGGTTTGAGCTGCAGACTCACCTGTCCGGAGTGGGCACTCAATGCGGCTGCTGTTTCTGTAGGAAAACTAGAAAAGACAGACAGCAAAGACACAGGATCACTGGAAGAGCTGGGGCTGGTGAAACCAAACCAGCAACTCACACTCACAGAATGAAAGAACAGCAAAATCAGCAGGAGTCCTCAATTCCAGCCCCCTGCCTTCCTTCGGGAGGGGATACAACAAATATCTTTAGCGCGAAAGAAATCCCACATCTCCATTCCTCCAGTGACGGACAGCCTTGAATGCAGTCATACCCTAGATCCCGAATGCCTTGCGAGTCAAACGTTTTGGCTCCCGAATGCTGAAAACCTAGAAGTGATTGTTCCGGTTTGCAAACGTTCTTTGGAACCCGAACATCCGACGCAGCTTCCAATTGGCTGTAGGAGCTTCCTGCAGCCAATCAGAAGCTGCACCTTGGTTTCCAAACATTCTGGAAGTTGAACGGACTTCCTGAACGGATTCTGTTCAACTTCCAAGGTACCACTGTACAGGACTTGAACTGATCTCATCGATCAAGCCAACTTAAAACTAAAACCACCAAGTATTTGTCCAAACCTGCTCTTATAAAAGACATGGGGAGCTGCTTTTTAACGAGTCTGACCATTGATCCATCTTGCTCACTACTGTCTACAATGGCTGGGAAATGGCCTTCCGGGATTTCAGACCCCTTCTAGCCCTACCTGGAGATGCTGGGGATCAAACCTACAAAGCAGCAGGTGCTGTACCGCTGAGCCACATCCCTGACCTCCAGCAGTGAAGATTCCGCGGCACTCCTGAAAGCAACCTGTCCCAGTGCACCAACACCCAGACAGCCAGACAGTCGCTAGGACAGCATGGCTGTAGCTCAGCGGCAGATCGTGGGCCTTGCACACAGAAGGTCCCAGGTTCAGTCCTTGGCATCTGCAGACCAGGGTGAGAATATCCTCTGTCTGAAACCCTGGAGAACTGCTACCAGTCAGTGCAGACAATGCGGAGGTAGAAGGACCTATGGCGTGATGACTCAGTGTAAGGCAACTTCCTATGTGCCAAAGTTCTTCCCAATGTCCTAACTGAATTCTTGTGCTCGCAGTTTTAAGCCCACGACTATGGCTCATGTAGAGCCCCTAAGGCTGCAGACTTGAGAGTCAGCCCCACGTACACTGTAAACAACTAAAAACTTCAGCAGGATTTGAATAACGTTTGTAATGTACTAAAAACTAAGGTAAAATTGGATTATATAAGAAAAATAGGGGAAATAAGTGAAGCAGTGGGAAAAGATTGGAAATGGTAACCATGGAAGGGGGGGAGGGGGGGTCAAAGGATTCAGGGAATCCTCAATGATGATGTTGTTGTTTATTTGAATTTGCAATGTAAAACTCAATTAAAAAAAAAAGATTTATAAGAGAGCCAGCCCCATAGGACTCCGTGTAACTTCCTCCTGAGTCAACCTTCATATGACTGCACTGCACATCACAGGGTCTGTTTTCCTTTGGACAAAAGCTTTATGCTTTTGAAGGCTTATCAAGTGCAACGCTTTTCATGCTTTACGACGTATGGAAAGAAGAAGAAGAGTTTGGATTTGATATCCCGCTTTATCACTACCCGAAGGAGTCTCAAAGCGGCTCACAATCTCCTTTCCCTTCCTCCCCCACAACAAACACTCTGTGAGGTGAGTGGGGCTGAGAGACTTCAGAGAAGTGTGACTAGCCCAAGGTCACCCAGCAGCTGCATGTGGAGGAGCGGGGAAGTGAACCCGGTTCACCAGATTACGAGGCCACTGCTCTTAACCACTACACCACACTGGCTCTCACTGCTGGAAAAACACCAGCAGGGACTGAGAGCTCATCTGTACCTTGGGCTTGGGCTTTCTAGGCATGGGACAAGCCTTGATGAGCCTTGAGAGCACATCCCCTGGTTGAGGACCAGCTTGTCCTGATCAAGGTACGCCAAGTCATATCCCTCCACAAGAACAGAAGTGAAGTTCATTTTTTTTAAAAGCACACAAACACCTACATCCCAATGCTATCTACTCAATCCTATGATGATAATGCAACTCCCAAGCTTCCCGTCGCTCTCCTGAGACTGTGCAGAGTCCAGACGGCTGCAAGTGGCAACAGTTTCGGGCAGAGAAGATCTGGCACTAGGACTTGCCAGTGTCCGGTGCGAGTAGCGACTGGGAAGCAGGCCTCACCTTGAAGCAGAGCCGCGGGTGAACATCCACCTCCTCAAGGATGTACTCCTAGAGAAAGAAAAAAACACGCAAGGATAATCTTGATTGTTTATTTGCAATATCCATCTATCGCTTAGCATGCAAGACCTCTAGGCAATAAGGCACAATAAGATCATTTCAAAAGCACTCTGTTATCTTCTCTCCTATATCAATTTCCACAACCCAACATGGCAAGGGTGAGGGAATCTGTGACTTTTCAGATGTTGCTGGCATCCAACTCCCATCCACTTCAGCGAACAGGGCCAACAGATTGACGTTTGCTGCAATCCAGCATTGAAGGGGAGCTTTCTAATGGGTAATGTTTTATTATGTTTTTATATATGTTGGAAGCTGCCCAGAGTGGATGGGGCAACCCAGTCAGATGGGCAGGGGGCAAATAATAATAATAATTTTATATATATATATATATATATATATATATATATATGAATGATAATATAAAGGCACAGTCTGACCCTCTCCTTTGGTAATCCTCACAGAACTCTAGCCCAATGGTTGCCATTAATTTGATTTTGAATTGATTTTAGAATGAATTGATTTTAGAATGCTGTGTTACTAGCTGCTCTGATCCCGGCTTCGGCTGGGGAGGGCGGGATATAAATAAAATTATTATTATTATTATTATTCATTGGGAAAAGAAGAAGAAGAAGAGGAGGAGGAGGAGTTTGGACTTGATATCCTGCCTTTCACTCCCCTTAAGGAGTCTCAAAGTGGCTAACATTCTCCTTTCCCTTCCTCCCCCACAACAAACACTCTGTGAGGTGAGTGGGGCTGAGAGACTTCAGAGAAGTGTGACTAGCCCAAGGTCACCCAGCAGCTGCATGTGGAGGAGCGGGGAAGCGAACCCGGTTCACCAGATTACGAGTCCGCCGCTCTTAACCACTACGCCACGCTGGCTCCCAGCACAAAAAAGCACAGGACAAGTGGGAAACTGCTTGGACCTGTGCTTTCAAGGCACAAAACAAGTGGACGTGTTGACAAGTCCTAACGCTTCCTCCAGTTCAGCCATCCTTTAAACACCCCAGTCTCCCCTCTTTTACTCTTTACAGTGGGCAAGGAGCACCAATACGTATTTACCCTTAATGAGGACATACTGCTAAGCCTGAACCACTTGTTTGTGCTAGTCTTTGGTGGCTCAAAGGCATCAAGAAATGATTCGGCAGCTAAATATCTCTCCACATGCCTCTACTGCTCCCTTTCCCTACCCTGCTGCGGCAAAACCGAGCTCTACCACAGGCAGGCAGGGAAGGCAGGGTTAGTTCCGAACGAACGTCACCATAAGAGCATCCTTGGATCGTTACCCGTTACCACCCCACCAAGCTCCTAGTATGACCGCCCCACCCTTTCACCTGATGTAATCCTGTGACTGTGGAATTGGGGATGTCTTGACAGGCCGCACCCGGAGTGGGGCTTTCTTTCCAGCACAGGGAAGCGTTGGGATGAAGCAGGCAGCGGCCGCTCAGAGACATAGCCATTTCAGCCTTGACGCTGTTGCTGTAGTCGCGAAACTCCACCGAGGACCACAGATCTGGACCATCTAGAAGAGAGGCAGCAGCGGGGGGCGGAAATATGATTAGACTGTTGAGTCTCCAATAGACACTGATACCTTATAACAGGGATGAGGAACCTGTGGCCCAGTGTATGCTGTTGGAACCAGGCAGAGGGCCTTCTCGGTGGTGGCGCCCGCCCTGTGGAATACCCTCCCATCAGATCTCAAGGAAATAAACAACTACCTGACTTTTAGAAGACATCTGAAGGCAGCCCTGTTTAGGGAAGTTTTTAATGTTGGATGTTTTATTGTATTTTTAATATTTTGTTGGAAGTGGCCCAGGTTGGGGAAACCCAACCAGATGGGCGGGGTATAAATTATTATTATTATTATTATTATTATTATTATTATTACCCAGAACTACGTAGTTCAAGTTGTGCCCTTTAACCACTACATCACATCGGCTTTCTCTTTGTCTGCTGGTCTCTTTATTGAATCAAGTAGGCACCTCCAGCAAAACAAAAAACGGGGGGGGGGGCACCAATAGCACCTCATTTTTATACCCAAGTAAATGCATTAATAGTCTAATGGGCGGAGCCAGAGATCAGTTTAGCTCTAATAGAAAAGGGGGCTGCATTCTTTCATTAGGGCTAACTAACTAGTGGAAAAGCAGTCTGCTCTGCTTCTGCACCTGTAACAACAGCTCAATGTGCAGAAAACAGCAGATCAGAGCCGTCTTTCCCATTGGTGCTAGTGGTTCGTTGCACCAGGGCGCTGGCCTCTCAGGGGCGCCCCAGAGAGTGGGGGAGCTGCACCCCCTCCCTTGTTTGGGAGTTGCTGGGAGGGGGCGCCAGAGGGATCTTTGCACCATGGCGCCGGATATGCTTCAGACTGCCCTGCAGCAGATGAACATTTCACGGCAAGAAGCTATGCATACTTGCTAACACCTGCATCCCAAGGTCCCGTCAAAGGCACAGGAGCAGAGGCTAGCAAATAAATTTGGCACGCCTGTCCTCCACAGCAGACCTTACCTACCTAAAACAAACTATTGCCATAATAGCCAAGCAGCCCTAGCAGCAACAGAGCTAGACACCATTGGCAGAGCCCTGCTGTCATCAGACCCTAGAATAAAGCAAGACTCACAGGCCTCTGGCTGATCCCAGAAAGGGCACACTTTTTTGCGCAAGCTGTCGTGATGCTCATGATACGATGCCTAGAACAGAAGGGAGGAAAGTTAGGTCCACGTTGGCTGCTTCCCAGCCTTGATTCCCTCTGCAGTCCCCAGACAGAGGGCTCCCACCCATGTGCTAAGAGGCACCCAATAAAAAATGGCAGGTGAGCCCATTCTGTCCTGGGGTGCTTCCAGATTGTGGGCTTGGGGTAAGGGGCGCGGGAGGCGTAACACTGTAAATGGGTCATTCACAAACAAGTCAAATCTGGATGAAATTGGTGGTGGCGGGGAACGATGGACTGGAATTTGATGCCAACAAAGCTGCCAAAATTGCAGGCATAAGGAGCAACCATCCTGCAATCAACACCCATCTGGAAACATTCTTGGATGTTCTGTCCCCTGCCCAGCCCTGGCCACATGGCCACTTTCTGTAGAGGGCCTGGCGTGGGTAGGAGGGGCTCTTAAAGACACAGCTACCCACAAACCTAAGCAAAATCTGCTACAAGACTGAGCCACAGAAGTAAGCCTCAGCTCAGGTTTCTGTCCTTCAGCCTTCCCCAACTTGGTGCCCTCCAGCTGTTTTGAACTACAACAGCCGGTGGGAGTTAATGCCCAAAGCAGTCAGAGGGAACCAGGTTGCAGAAGGCTATTTCAATCCCTCTTCCCCTTCCCGGTTCTGTTTGTACATCTCCCCGCCCACCCACAAGAGAGACGGTACCTCTCTTTTCTCCTCCCACTGAAAAGTGTTGGAATGGTGGGCCCCTCAACATGATGTGCACGCACCTCGATACATAAGCATGGGAGCAGGCGCTCATACGACAGCAGAGCAGGGTGATACTTGGAGACCAGAACCTTGGAAGAGGAGAAGAGGGCCATAACATTGAGGCTCTGGAGCAGAATATAAGTTTGTAATTCTTCTTACTCAACCCACACATTCCCCTTCATATCCCTCCAGCCTGTTTGTCCTGCCTTTTCCTCCCCGCCCCCCATTATTTTATCGTTTTATTGTTTGTACAGGAAGCAACAGCCTCCTTGCTCTTCCTTCCCACCAAAGGTAAAGTTAAAGGGACCCCTGACCATTAGGTCCGGTTGTGACCGACTCTGGGGTTGCGGCGCTCATCTCATTTTATTGGCCAATGGAGCCAGCGTACAGCTTCCGGGTCACGTGGCCAGCATGAGTAAACTGCTTCTGGTGAACCAGAGCAGCGAACGGAAACACTGTTTACCTTCCCGCTGGAGCGGTACCTATTTATCTACTTGCAGTTTTTGGGGTGGTTTCAAACTGCTAAGTTGGCAGGAGCAGGGACCGAGCAATGGGAGCTCACCCCGTCACGGGGATCTGAACCGCCGACCTTCTGATCGGCAAGTCCTAGGCTCTGTGGTTTAACCCACAGCACCACCCGCATCCCACCCTTCCTACTAGATGGGTCCATTTCTTTTCTTTCCTCCCTTCTTTCTAAATTTATTTGGTTTTTCGGATTAAAATTTTACAGTCATATATCAAACATAGACCAAACATAAACACTAGATTCCAAGGAATCTCTTGGACTTCCCTCCTTCCCTTTGTGGGTCCTATTGTTAATCATTTCCTCCTGCATCTTTTATGATGAGCCAAATCTTTTACATCTCCATCGTGTCCAAAATTCACCCTTAAACTACAAGTGATATTCCAATCCTACTAACGATTTTAACTGTCTACAATGGTCTTTAAGGTAAGTTATAATTTCCCCCCATTCCTTATTAAAATTTAGGTCTTCCTGATTTCGGCTTCTTCTGGTCATTTGAGCCATGGCGGCATAATCCATCAACATGATCTGCCATTCTTCTCTAGCAGGGACTTTATCTCCTTTTAGATGGGTCCATTTCTGTTCCTCCTCTGCATCCTTCCCCTCCAAGGTCTCACCTGCTGGTGGAAAGGCTGGCCCAGTTCCTCGCACTCCAGAGCCAACTGGTGGCAGAGGCGTACTGTGATGTCAGGACCCTCAGGGACAGACACCTCAATAGCCCGTTCTGCTGGCACCCATCTGTGGTGGAACTCTGGAACCTCTGGGGAAGGAAAAGCAGGCTGTGGCAGAGGAGAAAACCCAATCTGGAGCAGGACATTTGGAACGCTGCTGCGGCAACTGATGAGGAGTTTTGGATTTGATATCCCGCTTTATCACTACCCGAAGGAGTCTCAAAGCGGCTAACGTTCTCCTTTCCCTTCCTCCCCCACAACAAACACTCTGTGAGGTGAGTGGGGCTGAGAGACTTCAGAGAAGTGTGACTGGCCTAAGGTCACCCAGCAGCTGCATGTGGAGGAGCGGGGAAGCGAACCCGGTTCACCAGATTACAAGTCTACCGCTCTTAACCACTACACCACACTGGCTCTCCACACTCACCACACTGATGTGTTTCAAGGCTTCGTGTATGTGAGGTAACACATGGCGTTGGTGTGGAAATGTTGCAAAGCCACACAGGATTATCCTGCTATTACTGCATATTCTATTGGCTATTAGCCATTGTGTGTACTTTGATATAGGATTAAATTCTTGCATGTGCAAGTTACAGAAATATATTATGCTCGTCTAAGACCTTGGCCCCTCTCCCCTCTGCATTGGTCACAAGATAATTCTGGAATGCCAAGGAAGGCACTTTGAACACCATCTATGTCCAGTGTTTCCTGAACACCATTTTTCCCCAGCACAGAATTTGAAGATTTTCTGGGCACAGAATTCCAAACCCCTCAGCAATGGCAGTAGGCCGGGCCTATGTGTATTCTAGCCATGTCTTACCTAATTGGTTGTTAGGGATTAAAAGGCTTTCGTTGATGCTCAGCACCCCGCCAGGAATGGTTTCCAGCGAAACAAGCACCCGGCGGCCGCTCTCTGCTGGGAAACAGTCAAATAGCACCTGCCACTGGAGAAGGAAATGCCACAGTGAGAATGGTGCTCACCCAGATCCCCTGCTTGTAAACCATGCTGGAATCTTGGCCTGTCCCAAGCTGGAGTAACCCCCTAACTAGTTGCTGCAACGCTATTGCTCTGTAAGCGATTATCTGGTGAATCTCTTAAACAGCAGGAGTCCACAAAACGTACAAGCCAGACTTCACACACCACTGCATCATCACATCCAGTGCTTTGGGGGGTATGAGGTGTCACCGCGCATATCTTGGCAATGGAGCGGCAGTTGTGAGTACAAAATGGCTGCCATGCACAGCAAAAAAAGAGAAAGGTGATGGTATTCCGTATCAGTCACTACCGCCACAAAGAAAGCACTGCTCATATCTATTCAAACCCCTGAACATGGAATCCAATGACTTGTGGAGGGTCTTGAACATACCAGCTTTCAATTTGTAAAAAACCCCCCCACATTTCTAGCCCTCATGAATTTAACCTTAAAAGGTTGAAGCAAATTATGTTAATTCCCAAGTCTTCTCCATCTGTTAATTGTAGAAAGGAAGTACAGTAGTACCTTGGTTTACGAACTTAATAATAATAATAATAATATAATAAATTTTATTTATATCCCGCCCTCCCCAGCCGAAACAGGGCTCAGAGCGGCTAACAACAATAAAATGATAAAACATTCTAAAATCATTTCATTATAAAATTAATTCAAATCAGGTTAATGGCAACCATTGGGTTGTTCCCAACCATTGGGAAGTTTGTTCTTAAACCAAAGTGTTCTTAAACCAAGGCATGCTTTCCCATAGCAGCGGGGGACTCAATTTACAAAAGGAACACACTCAACAGGAAGCGGAACATGTTCTGCTTCCAAGGCAAAGTTCACAAACCAAAACACCTACTTCTGGCTTTGCAGCGTTTTTAATCCAAGTTGTTCGTAAGCTAAGCTGTTCTTAAACCAAGGTACCGCTGTACTTCCACACAGTATTTTCCCACAAGCCTCGCTCGTAAGAGATGGGGTGCCATTCCTCAAGTCTGCCTGAAACTCAACATCACAATGATCCCTAAGCCTAGAAGAGCATGCATGCTTGTTGCAGTCACCCAACAGGTCCTCACTCTGCTCAAGCTCAAGGGCACCCCCATTCATTATGCATTTACAAGGAGTTGAGTTGACCACTGAAAGCAAGTTTTTTAGGGTTCAGTCCTGTCCTCTGTACCTTTTCTACTTCAGGACACAGACATCCCTAAAGGTAAAGGTAAAGGGACCCCTGACCATTAGGTCCAGTCATGACCGACTCTGGGGTTGCGGCGCTCATCTCGCTTTATTGGCCGAGGGAGCCAGTGTACAGCTTCCAGGTCATGTGGCCAGCATGACTAAGCTGCTTCTGGCGAACCAGAGCAGCGCACGGAAACGCCGTTTACCTTCCCGCTGGAGTGGTACCTATTTATCTACTTGCACTTTGACGTGCTTTCAAACTGCCAGGCTGGCAGGAGCAGGAACCGAGCAACGGGAGCTCACCCCATCGTGGGGATTCGAACCGCTGACCTTCTGATTGGCAAGTCCTAGGCTCTGTGGTTTAACCCACAGCGCCACCCGTGTCCCAGATACATCCCTTAGAACACAAAATAAACTCAGTGTCTGGTACATTGCTATGGCCATCAAAAGATGGGGGACTGGGAAGCACAGCCAAGTTTCCACCATTTCTGAAACCGAGGCCAAGGCTGAGGAATCTGTGATCCTCCAGAGGATACCGTACTACAACTCCCAACCACCCCAAGAAAATAGGTTCCCATAAAATTACACGTTGCTCCGACATTTTGCAAAGATGTTGAAAGATACCACTATGAATTAGGAATGTACAAAGATTGGTCGTTTCCCAATGCAATGGTCAAAAAGGAGGTTGTGGTGTGGTGTATATGTTTCTACCTTTCTTTCCGGGCACAGAACTCCTGTGCCGGCAGGCAGAAGTTCTGAAGCTTTTCCCAACATGGAGATAAAGGAGAACTTAATCAGCTGAATTTCGGCCTTTCGTACAGCTAATAAACAGAAGGCAGCAACATCCTGTTGAGAAGCCTCCCCATCACAATCCAACACTTCCATAGGAAGGGTGATAACTAACCAAGGTTCCAGCGCCTGCTCTTCTGAAGATCTGAAGCCAGCCAGAGCGTTTGGAACTTATAACCAGGAAATGCAACTCCAGTCCTTCAATGCCTGAGGTCAGGAAAAAGAGAGAGAGAATACAGCGGTACCTCAGGTTACGTACGCTTCAGGATACATACGCTTCAGGTTACAGACTCCGCTAACCCAGAAATGGTGCTTCAGGTTAAGAACTTTGCTTCAGGGTGAGAACAGAAATTGTGCTCCAGCGGCGCAGCAGCAGCAGCAGGCTCCATTAGCTAAAGTGGTGCTTCAGGTTAAGAATAGTTTCAGGTTAAGTATGGACCTCCGGAACAAATTAAGTACTTAACCTGAGGTACCACTGTAGTGCCAAGGAGAGAGACAGGCAGTCCAAGGCAACACAAATCTTCACTGAGTCCTGGTATTATTTATCACTTTAACTGAGTACTTTGTATCCCACTTAATACGGCAGTTTCTAAGCAGTAGAAGCAGTCTACCTCTCCTGGTGCTTACAAGGCAGTGTGCATGCTGTGCATGTGCGGGTTTGCTGAACAAGTGCATCATATTGTTATGAGTTTGTGACCAGGGAGAAGAGTCGGTGGAAGAAGACTGGAAGAAATTTAAAGACTATTTACAGAAATATTGCAAAATTAATGAATGTTAGAATGATGTTGGATTGAAGTTAAGTGGTTTCTAGCTGTACAGGTATAAAAGAATATGGAAAAATTGGTTTTTAATATGTAAAAATTTAATGTTATAATATATCAAGATTAAAGATCAGGATTAAAAAGGAGGGAAAGGAACTGTTGGATTAACAAATTGAATTGGAATACAAAAGAGGGAGGTATGAGGAGGTCCGGGAAACAAGTAAATGTAAAAGAAGTGATGAAAAGATGGAATTGTTTTTAACTGTTTTTTCTTTTTTCTACTTTGTATTTTTTTCTCTTTATTGTTAATCTTTTTATTAATGTGATTTTTCTTCTTTTGAAACTTTAATAAATATTATTTGAAAGACATATTGTTATGAGTTTGTGGGTGCCAGGGTGCCCTAAATTCCTGGGCCCAATAGATGCTAGAATTTAATCAAAGCTTGGGAGCTAGAATCACAAAACCGTAGAGTTGAAAAGAAACACAACGGTCATCTTGTTCAACCCCCAGCTATGCAGGAATCTCAACTAGATCATCCATGACAGATGGCCATCCAGCCTCTGCTTAAAAACCCCCAAGGAAGGAGAGACCATAACCTCCCAGCAGGAGACTGTTCCACCGTTGTACAGCTCTTACTGTCAGAAAGTCCCCCCCCCCCCGAAGTTTAGTTGGAATCTCCTTTCTCGTAATTTGAAGACATTGGTTTGAATCCTACACTGCAGAGAAGGAGAAAACAAACTTGTTCCCTCCTCCATGTGACAGCCCTTGAGATATTTGAAGGTGGCTATCATTGTTAGAATTCCTGCCCCACGATTGCAGTCATGGGATTGTTGTCTATCACATGACGGTGTATGTTTTCATTCACACAGTGTGGGAAGTGACGGAGACAGGATGTTTGTGTTACTGTGTTCCGTGAAGTGGGACTATTGTCCTTTGTTCTTTCTCTTTGCTGTCTAATGCTAGAGAGAGAGGGAGCCATGTTGCAGTGCTCCGTGTGTGTTTATATGTAAACAAAGTAGATTAGCCAAAATGCTGAGTTGCTGAGTTACGCAAACTGCGAACACTCTGCAGATCCCTAAGTGTGCCGGTGTCTGTTGGCATCGGTCGCTGTGATGTTCGGGCTAAAGAAAGCTTTTGAAGCTCCCGAACGAACGGCCAGGAGGGAGAGAACATGCCAGTCAGGCATGTGTCTCTGCCAGGGTCCTACTTGAGAGTAGGACGAGCTCCTGACAATCATATCTCCTCTCAGTCTCCTCTTTTCCAGGCTAAACATACCCAGCTCCTTCAACTGTTCCTCATAAGGCTTGGTTTCCAGACCCTTGATCATCTTGGTTGCCCTCCTTTGTACACGTTCCAGCTTGTCAACATCCTTCTTAAATTGTGGTGCCCAGAATTGGACACGCTCCTAACCCTTCTAAATGACATCCCATTTACATTCGTTTTCTATATCTTATTGCACCATGAGAACACTTCAATAATAATATTAACTGTGATTTCCTTCCTCCCCACACCTGTTGTAAGAACCCTGGCTGGATCAGGCCCTGGCCCACCCCACCTGCTCCCACATCATACCTGTAGCGTTCAAAGCCAAGCGAACACGCACACACGTCTGGCGCTTGCGGAACAGCTGAACTGGGCTTAGGCTAAGGCTGGGCACACGCAGGGATAGGTCTTCCTGCAGCTTCCGCTGGCATCGGAATTTGGACCGAGGCAGGGCACCATACGCTGTAGAAAAGAACAATAATGCAATTATGGGATAACGCTGGAGAAGCATCTTGGAACAACCAGCCAAGAGGAATGATGTGTGGGCAGCCCAGTATAATAATAATAATTTATTATTTATACCCCTCCCATCTGGCTGGGCTTCCAAAAAACATTAAAATACTATAATACACCAAACATTAAAAGCTTCCCTAAACAGGGCTGCCTTCAGATGTCTTCTAAAAGTCTGGTAGTTGTTTATCTCTTTGACATCTGATGGGAGGGCGTTCCACAGGGAGGGCGCCACTACGGAGAAGGCCCTCTGCCTGGTTCCCTGTAACTTGGCTTCTCACAGTGAGGGAACCGCCAGAAGGCCCTCGGTGCTGGACCTCAGTGTCCAGGTAGAACAATGGGGGTGGAGACGCTCCTTCAGGTATACTGGGCCGAGGCCGTTTAGGGCTTTAAAGGTCAGCACCAACACTTCAAATCCATCATTAATGCACCGTTATTCTATCCATGACATATTGCAGAATGCACAGTTGTTACACACCTGCAAAAAAACACCCGTCTGGAGGGTCTCTTAGGGTTTAAAGTGCTATGAACTTCTGTCGTTTCTGTTGCAATAGATTTAACATGGGTCTTTTCCGGAAATCTGAATTATAGTCCCAGTACTCCAGCCAGCTATAAGCACACTTGCCAGTACTTTCCATCTCCTCCAACTCAAAAGCCATTAGCCTGTCTCTCCTTCCCTTCCCCCTCTGTAAGGTTCCTGCAAAGATGTCCATGCACCTAGAAAGCTAGCATGTCAGGGTGGAGGATTCAGTTGAGCCTTCTCCCTGACACACTATTTTCCTACGTGCACAGCTTTCCACCACCCACCCCTCCACGGAGGAACATTCAAGCATGTACCTTCACATCTCTGTGACACTTTTAAAAAACTGGCCTGCACTGAGCCTTTGGGAACCTCCAGACTGTCAGTATTGAAAAGTATGGGATGAAAAAATGACTGAATGGGGAGACATCTAAGTACCACACAAATAATTCAGGAAGAACACAGGACTAATGCAGCCTACACAGATGTTTAGAACGCTTACAGAAGTCTTAATTTGCTTCAACCATCACGGCTTTAACTTTCTGTATGTTTTAAATTGTGGTTGCTAACTTTTCAGAGATAATTTTATTGCTTTACCTTTTTGGTAAACCACTTTAAGGTCCCCCCCCCCCAGCAATCAAGCGGTATATAACTTTTACGAGATTGATTAATCAATCAAATTGTCATTGTCATATAAAGGTAAAGGGACCGCTGACTGTTAGGTCCAATCGTGACCGACTCTGGGGTTGCGGCGCTCATCTTGCTTTATTGGCCAAGGGAGCTGGCATACAGCTTCCGGGTCATGTGGCCAGCATGACAAAGCCGCTTCTGGCGAACCAGAGCAGCGCACGGAAACACCGTTTACCTTCCCGCTGGAGCGGTACCTATTTATCTACTTGCACGTTAACGTGCTTTCAAACTGCTAGGTGGGCAGGAGCAGGGACCGAGCAACGGGAGCTCACCCCGTCACGGGGATTCGAACCGCCGACCTTCTGATCGGCAAGTCCTAGGCTCTGTGGTTTAACCCACAGCGCCACCCGCGTCCCACATGGTCATATAACCACCATGCAAACATATCAGAATGAACGCTCAGCAAAGACAGGATGTAATCTAACCCCTGTGCAAACAAATCATAATAAATGCTCAATAAACACATTGCCCGGAGGGACCTTTGGTTATATTCTGCAATACAAGGACCCTTCCTGCACTCCAGGCCTAGCAACATCCTAGAGTTTAGGAGTTCCAAAATCTTTTCTCTTCAATGTCCACTCCAAAATGCCCATGGTCCCTTGCTGCAATCACAGTTGCCACACAAGCAGCAGTACAGGAGCACTTATTTTCTTACTTACCAGTAGCATTCCAGCATTCCTGGAAAAAAGAAACAAGAGAGAAAGAAAACCTCAGTGGGGTAAAGTGGAATCAATATCTCTCCCTGCAATCCTAAGGCAGAAGCATATTTGCCGGAAGCAAAACAGACAGGCAGGGTCCACAAATGTTTGCTAGTCCAAGGAAGCTGAGAGGTAAAGAAAGTACAGTGGAACTTCGGTTTTCGAGCGCCTCAGAAGCCAAAAATTTCGGAACCCGAATGCCGAAAACCCAGAAGTAATTGCTTCTGTTTTCAAACACGCCTCAGAAATCGAAGGCCTTCCAAGGCACGTTTCTCATTTTCTCAATTAAAATTGTCAACGGCCCTTTGCACCTCAGTTGTCGAACGTTTCGGAAGTCGAACGGTCTTCCGGAACGGATTACATTCGACAGCCGAAGTTCCACTGCAGTTCTTCACGCAACATGCATTTCATTTATAAAGATCTCAATGGTCTGGTTCACGCATCACACTAAGCCACAATATAATGAATACAGTGGTACCTCGGGTTACATATGCTTCAGGTTACAAACGCTTCAGGTTACAGACTCCGCTAACCCAGAAATAGTGCTTCAGGTTAAGAACTTTGCTTCAGGATGAGAACAGAAATCGGGCTCCGGCGGCGCGGCGGCAGCAGGAGGCCTCATTAGCTAAAGTGGTGCTTCAGGTTAAGAACAGTTTCAGGTTAAGAACGGACCTCCGGAACAAATTAAGTACTTAACCTGAAGGCCACTGTATATGGCTTTCAGTAACCTTGTGAATGTGCTCGTGCCCAGTGAGATAGCACTTTGATTAATGAAACGATATGTCCTTTAAAATGTGTTTGTGGGAAGGGGGGGGTATTGTTTTGTTTGCGTTCTTTTTTTATTATGTACTTTGTGGTTTTATTTTGTATTTTTATGCTGTGAACCACCCTGAGATCTTTGGATGAAAATTCAATAATCAAAACAAAACTCACTTTGCTACTGCTACTTCCCAGCAGGGCTACCAACTTGAATAAAATGGGGGGGGGCAGATAAACCTTACCCTGCATAACTGATCACAAGATGTGGCACACACGCCATTTAAATGGCAACGCCCATCAACTTGGGGGTGGGCCTCTCAAATATTTTATTGGGGGGGGCAAAGGGACCTTGGCTCCTAAGCTCCCCAGGCGCTTTAGTTCAGCAACGAAGCCAAGACACTTCACCCCCCAAAAAAATCTGGGAACTGTAGTTTTCTTCTCACGGACCTACAGTTCCCAGCATTTGTGGGAAGGGATGCTTTAAATGTGTGCACAGCCCAGGCCTATGTGTTTCAATGCCTGACTAAAGCTCTGCCTAGTAAAAAAAATTTACTGGCTGAACTGGAACAGCAAAAGCCCCCCTCCTCCCGTGAAAGTCAAGATGTGGCATAACCAAGGTATTTTGGAACGTGAGGCAAAAGTGAGCATTAAAAAAACCAACCCGATGCCTCTCATAATTTGCTGCCTTTTGTGATCTTCAAAAGCCGCTGCCTGAGGCAGTTGCATCACTCTGCTTAACGGTAGAGCCGGCCTTGAAAAATCAATGAGTCCACGGAAGCTACTAGTTCACCCACCCACCCAATCCAATCTTAAGTCACTTGTGGCTTGGAAGGCAGGGTGGAGTAAGCCACAAATTTTAACACTTCTCTGTCTAGTCACCCACAAGTGATGGTTATCACAGGAAAGTGACAATTTACAAGCTGCTTCCGCTTCGATCCTCACGTATTCGATTCTCACTGAGGGGGGATACTTATTATGCCCCGACAGATGTGGTTTTCTCCATGTGTATGAGGGTGATCTCTCTCACACTAGACCTCTATCTATCTATCTATCTATCTATCCACACACCACACACACACAATGTGGGGGGGGGGAGGAAGAGGAAAAGGAAGAGAGGGAGCTCTGATTGTGTAACACCTCACACTTCAGCGATAATAAATCACTGGCAAATAGGCGGCCATGCGCTACCGCTGAAATGTTACTCAATCAGATATGTGTCCCTGCGGATGAGAGGGGAGTGCCGTGAATTTAAATTGAAATGTACTCAGAACTCCGTTCCAGCACCTCTCAGGTGGGCGCCGTTGCCCTTGTAAGAGAACAATGGAGGTGTTTGTGGCGAGTTCCGGCACCTCTTTTTCTAGAAAAATAGCACTGTATACCCCCCTCTTCCTGAATCATCTGTGAGACTGCTATTTAGTCCTGTAGCAGACAGGCCCAAACCAAGAGGCCACTGTGAACTACAGGGATACCGGCATACAAGGGGAAGCAAACAATCTCAAAGAGATGTACAACTGGTAAGAAAACAAACGATGGGTATGAAATGATGGGTTAAAACATCCCCAATTAGAATTGAAGGCTGTCGCATGTTAAGGGCTCTGTATTACTGGAAAGGGAAACATAAGGAATGAGCCAATTCCTTCGCACAAAAGTTATGAGAAGGAGGGAGGCATGTATTCATGATCTGAATAATCCCTAGTCTACCATAATGTGAAACGCTAATAATTTGAGTGAGTGAGTGTGTTAAGGCATTTAAGGAATTTTTTTTTTTGTAGGTGGGTTCCCCCCCCCCATTTTTTTATTAAGGCATGGGGTTTGTGGGTGGAATTCGACTAAGTTTTACTCAGACCCACTGAAATTAATGAGCAAGACTAAGTAAGGTCCGTCCATTTTAATGGCTCTACTCTGATTGATACGCGTTTAATCTTCCCTTAAAGCCATCTAAGTTGGTGGCTATCAGCTCTTCACATCTCGTAGGAAGGAGTTTCGTAGCTTCACCATGTGAAGAAACACTTCCTTTCATCTCTTCTGAATCTTCCTTTTATGAAACCTTTACAATATCCTGTGTTACAATATCCTTTTTGAGGTGAGGCAACCAGAACGGTACACGATTTGGCAGCATTATGATACTGGCAGTTTTATTTTCAGTCCCTTTCCTAAACGACCCTTAGCACAGCATTTCGCTTTTTTCGCACCAGCTGCACACATTTATCTTAGCAAGACGGGAATCGCTAAGGCCGCACTACACACATTTAAAGCTCATGACTTCCCCTAAAGAATCCTAGGAAATGTAGTTTGTGAAGGGTGCTGCTAACTGTAGCTCTTTGCGGGGTAAACTACAGTTTCCGCAATTATTTATGGAGGGGAGGGGAAGCAATGCACTTTATAACTCGGTCAGTAGAGCATGTAGCTCTTAATCGCAGAGTTGTGAGTTCGAGCCCCACATTGGGCAAAAAACCCCTGCATTGCAGGGGGTTGGACTAGATGCCCCTCGCGGTCCCTTCCAACTGTACAATTCTGTGATTCTGTGAAATATAAGGGGTGGTAGCCAACAAATGGCTCATCCACACTTTGCTTGTCCCACATCCAGAAATTCTGAGAGGTTTTCTGCTTGTTCTGTGCTTTCTAGGCAGATTTTGGTTTGCCATGCAGTTTCCCCCAGGAAAACATGCTCTTTCCTGCTGAACTGGAACAAACAGCAATCCATAGAAAGCACCATTGGAGTTTGGACCGATTCAGCAATAAACTGAGGGTTTTCTCGGGGGAAAACGGCGGGCCAAGCACAAGTGTGGAAAAGCCCTAAGTTTTACTCAAAGTAGACCCACTGGCATTAGTTAACACCTATCATAAAGATAGGTAAACATAAGGATCTATACATCCAATTGTTCACAGCTGCAAGGATGTTAATGGCTCAAAAGTGGAAAGGAACGGCTTTACAAGTTCGGGATTTGGCTATAATGGCAAAAACAACAAAGAGCAAGAATGGCAAGTGAATGTGGATATAAATTATGAGGAAACTGGTTGTTCCTTATACGATCCCCCCCCCCATAAAATAACTACTTCCTATGGAAGAAAATTCAAGGAGGTCTGGAGAATTTTATGTGAAGACGTAATTTCTTGCAGAATATTATGATCCGGAGCCGTTTTATTTCCTAGAGGAGATTTGTTGATTTTCCTGAACGAATGTCGGATGATTACATAAATTTGAAAAATAAAAGGAAAGGAAAGAAAGAAATCGGCGTGACTTATGTTACGTCGGCGTGACTTATGTTACGTCCATCGATTTGAACTGTGAGGTAAACTTAGCGGAATACTCCCTGTTGTGTGTACAACCGGGGGGCGGGGGAGAGAGAAAAAAACCAACCAGAGAGCCAAAGAGTAGGGCGACTGCCAGATTCTTCTGAGAGTCCTCCGCTGTAGGGTCCCTATCCTGCACTTCCACCACGGACAGCCCTCGCTTCAGTTGCTCTGCGGGGCACTGCAACCCTGCCTTGCTGTCACAATCGTTAACGGACTATGAACCACATTCCCGACAATACTAAGCACGCTGCCTCTTTTCCAGTTCCCGGACTGATCACATTTGCAGATACATCGTACCACAGCATTCTCTCTCCTCACGCTTCCCCCAAACCCCCAAAGACATCCATATAAAGAAGGAGAGGAAGCAAGAAGGACATTCTCCTGTCACCCGCATTAAAACAACAAGCAAGAAAGCAGCCTGGGCAACTCTTGGCTTCAGGGAGCGCAAGGAACAGCCAGGCACTCAGAAAGGTGCCCAGCTTTCTCCCATGTCAATCTTTCCCATCAACCGATAAAGGATCGGCGCTCAAATTTTAGGGTTGCCCTGCGCCTGCACTGTGTGAGGTCTGCAACATCCACTGCCCGCCCCTTGCCCCAAAAACAATATCATTGCACCCGTAAAAGTAAAAACATGCTTACGAAGTTGGTGAGGAGCTGCCGGCGGGCAAGAGGCAGGTAAGTTCGGGGTGCAGCATGCAAAAGGCTCAGGAAGAAGGCGATGGGCAGCAGCAGGGCACTCGTCGTGGGCCTCCCCATGGAGTGCCGGGCTGGAGCTCAGCTAGGCCGGAACATGGCTGTTGTTAAACAGTCGAAGAGTCAGATCTCAGCACACCTAGGCCAGGCAGCCGCAGGCAAGTCTCCACCCCTCAGTCTCTCCGTTCCCTGCTCTGCCTTGCCCCAACCTAGCCAGTCTGGCCTGCCTGCATTCCTTGGCGGCTGCTGCTGCAGCAGCTGTTCCAGCAGCTCCTGGGTGTTGTTGTTGAGACAGCCTGCGAAACCCCACAACTCAGAGGGGTTCCGTTTCCCCTTCTGCCCCCATGTCATTGCAGGGTTCTCTGAGAGGCGGCACACAGCCCAGCTTGGCTTAATCATTTCTAGCCCTGGGTAAGGGGTTAAAGGGCAACCAGGACATGGGCGTAAACAAGGGGGGAGCAGGGAGGGGCAGCTGCTCCCCAAGCAATAAAAATACTGTATTTTTTGCTCCATAAGACTCACTTTTTCCCTCCTAAAAAGTAAGGGGAAATGTGTGTGCGTCTTATGGAGCGAATGCAGGCTGCGCAGCTATCCCAGAAACCAGAACAGCAAGAGGGATTGCTGCTTTCACTGCGCAGCAATCCCTCTTGCAGTTCTGGCTTCTGAGATTCAGAATATTTTTTTTCTTGTTTTCCTCCTCCAAAACTAGGTGAGTCTTGTGGTCTGGTGCGTCTTATAGAGCGAAAAATACGGTACATAGCAAACCGAGGTTCTGCCCAGCCCCACAAGAAAAGGCCACACATCCCCTAACAAAAATCCTGTCTACGCCAGTGAACCAGGACCTATGAATCCACTGAGAGGACTCTCCCCATGTAAACTCTTACAGCGCTAAAGCCCACCCTACACTCCAGGCTCATGCCCAGGAGCAAAGCTTCATTCATTCCTTACAACAACCCTGCGGAGTATGCCACTACCACTTTTAGACGTGCAGCATTGCACGACACAATAATTCAGTTTTACTGACAAACCAGAGGTGTAAACTAACCCCTTTCTAGCCCTGTGAGGAGCGTGGGGAGCGTTCGCATGACACGCCTGCACACACAACGCACTAATGTGTCACGACACAGAGTTTGGAGAGTTTCGTGGTAAAGTGTCATGTGGGGTCTGAATGTCCCTGCCTAATGCTTCGATCTCTGTGACGTGAGCTATTAAAAAGATAAGGAGTGTCACCTGGTTGCCTATGCAATGCAAGGACCCTGGAAGATCAGGAACAGTTGGGCTGCTTGTGTTGCCTTGCTTCTTCTGCGATTGAGAACAGGTGCAAAGAAATGGTCCTGAAGTTCGTTGGCAGTTCCCAGTTCTCTTATCTGCATGGAGGTTTGAAAGACAGAGATCAATCAGAAAGCCGTCAGCATCACACACATATGAAAAGTTTTGATTGGAGGAAGTTACTGTTGTTCTCGAAGGGGACATTGCTTATACAGTGGTACTTCAGGTTAAGTAATTAATTTGTTCATAACCTGGAACTGTTCTTAACCTGAAGCACCACTTTAGCTAATGGGGCCTCCTGCTGCCACTGAGCCACCGGAGCACCATTTCTGTTCTCATCCTGAAGCAAATTTCTTAACCCAAGGTAATATTTCTGCGTTAGCGGAGTCTGTAACGTGAAGCGTATGTAACCCAAGGTACCACTGTATTGAAGGACAGGCGCCTAATGTTTACTTTAGGAATTCAGGGACATAAAAACTTTACTGTTTTTTATTGTGCTATATTTCATGTTTTTGTGCAAATAAGGGACTGGAAATTTGGAACTAGTAACCAACTTTTACTAGTTGGCTTTTACAAATAAAGTGAGCTAAAGATGCTTTTTGGGGAGTGCATTTTTTGGTCAACCACCAGAAAATTGGCCCTCTAATAGGGAGTGACCATATTGTGTGGGGTTCTGTTCCTGACCCCTGCACATGTCTCATAAGCCAAGCCCAGCCCATTATGCCCCGCCCCCATTATGCCCTCTTCTGGGTCCAAAATGACCCCCACTTTGGTGGTCACAAAGCACTTCAATTCATTACCAGTGGTTAGGATGAAGAGTATTCTGCTTTTTGTACGTTAGAAACCCAAGCTGCATGCAAACTGTACCTTTAAAGTATATTCAAAACACATTTCCCCTCAAAGAATTCTGGGCACTGTAGTTTCTTAAGGGTTGCTGGGATTCTAACTCTGTGAAAGGTAAACTACAGTGCCCAGAATTCTTTGAGGGAGAGAACGTGCTTCGAATGTGCTCTAAAGGCATAGTGTGCAAACAGTATTTAACTGGAGTGAAAAATTGCTAATACAAACTGAAATTGAAGCTGAAAACAGGGAGGATGAAGGAGGGGGAGATATGCTGCCAAGATAAGAGAGGTGATGGCAAAGGAGGAAGAGAGATGAGGAAAATGTGGAGAGGGCTTCATTTCAGATCAGCTCTTTCTCTCTCTCTCTCCAGATATTGGAGCAGCTTGCTTTGAATGGGAATTCTTCCTGCACATATTCCTTTAAGGTCACGTTTCTTAATTCTCCCTGTGAAAGCTCGGAGCTAGCCTGCAAACTACCACTCAGATCTTCGCCAAACTTTGTTCCTCTTGTCAGCCATCATCCTTCTTAGATAACTGCCCCCCCTTCTCCCCTCCCTGACTACCTCCTCCTAAAGCCCATTCTCAGAAGAAAAGCATCAACAGAAACACAAAAAAATTGTATGTTGGAGCCACCGCAAAGCTCCCTTTGCAATACACACACCTTGTTTGCTGAGCTTTTCCTGCCAGAGAGATTTCTGTCACATCCAAACCGTACATTCAAAGCACATTATACCCCCCACAAAAATTCCGGGGGAACATGGTTTAACCCTCACAGAGCTACAATTCCCAGCACCCATTACAAGCTACAGTTCCCGGGATTCTTGAGGGAAAGCTCTGAACTTTACATGTATGGTGTGGGTGGTGTTGCAGAGTTTATCCTTCCGTGGTTGCAAACCTATCAAGGCATACCTCCCAAGTCACCAGAGATCCTTTTTTTAAGGCTTCAAGGTCAGCACTGCTCCTTTTCTCTCTCTCTCTCTCTCTCTCTCTCTCTTTATAATGCTTTCATTTATTTTTCACGGTACGGAAGATACAGATTGAGAAAGCAATTGTTATGACAGTAAGCAACAAATAACCCGCCCCAATTAAATGACAGACTTTTGTCACGCTCTGTAATGAAGTGTCACTGGATTACCCTAAGGTCACAGCACATTTTCCCACGGGTGGATTCCTGTCACAGTCTGAACCATTTATGTACTCAACTAACATTCGAAGTTGAGTTTCCCCCAGTAGCGAAACAGAGCAGGATTTCCAAAAAATGGATGCCTGTGTCCAGTGCCGGATTTACGTATAAGCTAAACAAGCTATAGCTTAGGGCCCCACTCTCTTGAGGCCCCCAAAAAATTTAAAAGGAAAAGAAAACTGGATATACATTTCCAAAATATATAAGATAAAAAACAAATAAAATAAAACCTACATACAGCAGCAGTGTTTTGTGTTGTGTAGGCTCCTAGGATGAAAGTCATGGGCCCCGCCTGCTAGCCTGCTCCCTAAAATATCACTGGTTTGCTCATTTCTAGATATAGGGTGCCTACATTCTGCATGGACTGGTTGCAGGGCAACATGTGCAAATGGCTTTAGATACCTATTAGGTCCATAAATTAACATATAGCATATATTCTTTTTTATTATTCTTTTTTTGACTATTTTATTAGTTGAATATAAGAACAACATATAATCAAATACAAGCAATAAAATGGAGTTTTCCCCCAACGCCCCCCCCCAAAAAACAGCCCCAACTACGTCCAGGTACATTAGTAATATACGTACATTAGTAATATAAGCAAATGAAAAATTATTTCTACAGTTGCTGGTTTAAAAAATATCATCCACATGCTCCCATGTGTCTCAGGTGGTTTAAATGCATGTTCTTTCTTTGATGCAAATGTAATAAAGAAGGACCACGTTATGTAAAAGTTATGTAGTTTCTCATGCTGTTTTCTTTCATGTACCCTTTCTGTTAACTTTTCCATCAAAATTAATTCCCAGACATAAGCATACCAAACTTCATATACGTTCACGTTTAATTTCTTCCAGTGTCTAGCAACAGCAAGACATGCTGCAGTTAGAAGATGCACAATTAAGTCTTTGTCTCTAAGATTTTGTGCTTCATCTGCAAATAGCAATGCTATTTTGGGATCTAAACTGATCGACTGAGATGTAATTTGTTCCATTTCCTGAAATATTTTTAACCAGAAGTTTTTAATCAATGGGCATTTCTACCACATGTGTATAAATGTTCCTTCATTCCCACAATTTCTCCAGCATTGTGGAGAAATATTTTTGTCTATTTTGCTTAGCAATGTGGGATGCAAGTACCATCTGTGGGTTAGCTTTAAGGTGTTTTCTCTTATTTGGGCAGAAATAGCTCAAAAGGGGGCTTTTTGCCACATTCCTTCCCACAAACCATCATCAATCCCTTCTCCCAAGTCTCTTTCCCATCTAGTCTTCGAGATACAGCATATATTCAACACAAAAAACAGTGATAATTTGTTGTTGACAAAGGACAGCTGGAGGGTCCCATTACCTTCAGTAGCTTAGGGCCTCATCAAACCTAAATCCGGGCCCTGCCTGTGTCAATTTGCACAAGCAGCCACATGTGTGGAATACTGCTTTCCCACAGCACCACCACAAGCCTGGCCAGCACTATATACCAAGGGGAGCTCCACAGGTTGACCTCCAACTACAACCCCCAATATTATTGACCACTGGCCATGCTGGCTGGGATTGACGGGAGCTGGGAGCCCACAGAATCTACAGGTTCCCACGCCGACTACCACAAGTGCAACGCTGCAAAGAGAGTGAAGGCGTCTGACTGCATCCAGGATTTTAAGATGTCACAGAGTTGCATCCTCCTGGGGGAGAAGGGTGGCAGTCTTCCAGCAGATGGAAGTAAGCTCAAACGAAAGGGAGAGCTTTTCAGGGGAGCAAGTTTGAAGGCCTTTCTGCTTA